TCTGCCTTCGGCTCAGGTCATGGTCCCAGAGTCCTGGGATCGAGCCCCACATCAGGCTCCCTGCTCAGTGGGGGTCCCGCTTCTCCCTCTGCCTCTGCCATTCTCTCTCTCTCTCTCTCTGACAAGTAAGTAAAATCTTTAAAAAATATATTTTTTGTAGTTCAGGTCTATAGGTGTTACATACTCTCAGCTTTTGTTTGTCTGAAAAGGTATTGTGTTTTTGGAAGGATATTTTCTCTGAGTATATAACTCTAGATTGGCAGTGTTTTTGTTTTGATTTGTATATTTTTGTTTTTGTTTTTAGCACATTAATGATGTCCTTGCTTTGTCCTCTGGCTTGAAATTGTTTTCTGACAAGAATTTTGTGGTTATAGTTATTTTTGTTCCTCTGTTTGTAAGGTTTTTTTGGAGAATTTTAATATTTTTTATCACTTTTTCAGCAGTTTAGTTATTATGTGCTCATTCTGACTTCCTTTGTGTTTTTCCTACTTAGGTTTCATTTAAATTCCTGGATTTGTGAGTGTATTACCTTTCCTTCAAATTTGCAAAAATTTCAGCCATTACTCTCTCAAATATACTTTCTGTATCACTCTTTTGTTAATACTGTCTCATAGGTTCTTTAATTTAATTTTTTTCCCTGTTTCAATTTGGATAGTCCTATTGTTGTATTTTCAAGTCCACTGACATCTCTTCTGATGTTAAGTCCATCCAAAGAGTTTTAACTTCAGATAATTTATTTTTCAGCTCTAGAAATACCACTGGGTTATTTTTTTTTATAACTTCTTGTCTTGTCATATTCATGTTTTTCTTTAAATCCATGCACATACTTTTTTTTTTTAAAGATTTTATTTATTTGAGAGAGAGAGAATGAGAGAGAGAGAGCACGAGAGGGAAGAGGGTCAGAGGGAGAAGCAGACTCCTTGCTGAGCAGGGAGCCCGATGTGGGACTCGATCCCGGGACTCCAGGATCATGACCTGAGCCGAAGGCAGTCGCTCAACCAACTGAGCCACCCAGGCGCCCCATGCGCATACTTACAACAGCTGTTTCTTAAAGTCATTGCCAAATCCATCATCTTTGTCATTTACGGGTATAGTTCTATCAACTGATTTGTTTCCTGGATATGGGTCATGTGTTCCTGCTTCCTCACAAACCTTGTAACTTTTTTATTGAGGTGAAATTCACATAAAATTAACTACATGAAAGTATACCTCTTAGTGGCATTTGGTACATTCACAGTGTTATGTAACCACTATCTCTATCAAGTTACAAAACATTTGCATCACCCTAAAGGGAGCCCTGTTTCCATCAAGCAGTCACCACCTACCCCCTTCCCTCGACTCTTGAAAGCTGCCAGTCCGTTCTCTGTCTCTGTGGACACCTATTGTGAATGTTTCATATAAGTGGAATTGTGTATGTGTTTAAGATTTTATTTATTTATTTGACAGAGAGACAGCACGAGAGCAGGCACACAAGCAGGGGGAGTGGGAGAGGGAGAAGCAGGCTTCCCGCGGAGCAGGGAGCCCGATGCGGGGCTCGATCCCAGGACCCTGGGACCATGACCTGAGCCAAAGGCAGACGTTTAATGCCTGAGCCACCCAGGCGCCCCGTGTATGTGATCTTTTGTATGTGACCTCTTTCGCCTAGCACAGTGTCTCTGAGGCTCACCATGTTGTAATATGTAGTGGCTGAATTATATTCTACTGTATGGATAGACCACATTTTGTTTATCCATTCCTCCATTGGTGGACATTTGGGTTGTTTCCACTTTTTGGCTTTTGTGAATGTTAAGAATGCTTGTATGCAAGTATTTGTTTGAAGACCTGTTTTCTATTCTTTTGGGTACATACCAGAAGTGGAATTGCTGGATTGTATGCTAATTCTATGTTTAACTTTTTGAGGAACTGCCAACTGTTTTCTGCAGCAGCTGCACCATTTTACATGCCCACCAGCAGTCAATGAGAGTTCCAACTTCTCTCCATCCTTGTGAAGACTTGGTTATTATTGCAGTCATCCTCATGAGTGTGGAGTAGTATCTGTAGAGGCTGTGTTTAGGCCACAGGTTTGAGCACTGGAAACCCGAGTGAGGTAACAGGGCCCGCAATGACCACGGGGCTGAATGCAAACAGGCTCATTAGGCGACCTACCTCAAAATAGCCATAGGCCCTAGCTGACCAACGGGCCACTGACAGCCAGGCACAGGTACCAAAAAGGGAAAATTCCATATGTTTCTATACCTTCTCACTCCCCTCCAATAAATACAGCCCCCCCGACTCTCCCACCCGCCTCCTGGCAGACAGTCTCTCTTCTTGCTGTCCTGTCCGCTGCTCCCTTGTGGCGTTGTCAGTACACTTCTATCTTCTTTGTTCTGTCTTTGATAAATTCTTTCCCTGCCCACACTGCCTGCCTCCACCTGATCCGTTCGCCTCACAGTATCTCACGTATCTTTGATTGCATTTCCCTGATGATTAATGATGTTGTGCATCTTTTCATGTGCTGTTGACCATTTGCATATCTTCTTTGGAGCTACATCTATTCAAATTCTTTGCCCATATTTTTAATTGGGTAAATCTAGTAACTTTTTTTTTTAAGTAGGCTCCACACCCAGTGTGGAGCCCAATACAGAGCTTGGACTCACAACCCTGAGATCAAGACCTAGGCTGAAATCAAGAGTTGGAAGCTTAACCTACTGAGCCACCCAGGCGCCCGAAATCTAGTAACTTTTTATTACATTCTGGATGCTGGGTATTTTGAATGTTATGTTATTGAGTGTTGTTTTGTGGGTGTTTCCCTTTAAAGAATGTTGAAGGTTTTTGGCCTGCAGTTAGGCTATATTTGTAGCATCTTGTTCCTTTTAAGGCTTGTTCTCCACACACACGATGGGTGTGGAATAGGTTTTAGTCTAGAGCTAGCTTAGTCACTTTATTGAGATGTGACATGTCTGGGGTCTCTCCTGAATGCTTTGGTGTCCACTTAGCTGCTTGGCACTTAGTGACCTCCCTACCAACGTGAAATCTGGAAATTGTTCAGCAACACCACCAACCCTCCGCGCCTCACGCCCACCCCGCCACCAAGTCGTTCTTTCCATGGACTCGATGCCAGCAGGCTGGGTCTGAGGAACGAGGGGGTCCTGCAGGACCAGCCAAGATGGTCCTTGGCTTCATGGAGGATAGAAATCAAACAGCCAGCAGGAAGTGAGAGCAGAGATTACTGAAGATAGACAGCAGATATAAACAGAGCATCTGGGAGACTCAGGAAGGAAAGGAACGTGAGTCTAGTCTTCGGGGAAGGGGTTTTTTATTGAGGATGGTGGTCTGGTATACTCGTCCCCTCAGGCATCCAGGAACTGATCAGAACAAGATGAGAGCTCAGGTGGTGTGTCTGGGAGCCAGGAGGCCTCGGCAGGGAGGTGTTGAGCACTGGTGGTCTGGAATATGCATGTGATGACTTGTCTGGTCATTCCCACCTGGTCCTTCCTTAGATGCTGTCTGTTCTAGAGGAATCACCGACTCCTTGTCCCTTACAAGGAGGACATGCACTACTTGTATTCTGAGGCCTGTGTGAAGTGGCGGTGCAGGCCCTAGCAAGAGTCCAAGCAGGAAATGGAGCAAAAATGCAGATTTTTATGGAGTCCTTGAGTTTCCCCGTCTCAGACCGGTGGAAGTTTTCCCTCATTCCTCCCTGACACGGGGCTGGTACTGAACTCAAGAGGTTGTTTGTTCCTGGTTTCCCAAGATTGCAGTCCTGCACTGCTTGTTGTCCAATTTACAGAAAGTTGTTTTGCATACTTTGTCCAGTTTTCCAGCTGTTTACTGGGGGAGGGCATATTGTCCAGCCCTGGATACTCTCTGGGGACCAGAAGGCCAGTCTCTCCCACCTTGCTTCTCTCCTTTGCTTATTCTCCACGCCTCCAGTTTTATATGGAGATGCAACCATGTATTTACAGTGTACGATTTAAACAACCTACACATAAGTATACACCCTAGAAAGCTTCACCACAACTGAACATTTCTATTACCTCTGAAAGTTCCAACGCCTCTCTCCCTCCGGTCCACCCCGGGGGCCATCCCTGAACTGTAGATAGCATTTTCTGCAGTTTTATATAAATGGGTTCATACAGTGAACTCTTTTGAGGGGGGTCTGACTTATTTAGCCAGCATAAAGATTTTGAGATCCATCCGTGTGGTGTGTGAAGGAAACTTCTTTCCTTTTTTGCTGAGCAACGTGCCATTGCACGCCTCGGCCACGTTTTGTTTATCCATTCCTCTGTGTCAAACGTTGCAGCAACATTTGAGTCGTTTCCAGTTTGGGGCTCCGAGAAACAAAGCTGCTATGAACAGTCATGTATGATTCTGTGTGTGGACCTATGTTTTCATTTTGCCTGGGTCATGGTAAATTTATGTTGGAGAAACTGCCAAAACTGTTTTCCGAAGAGGGTGTGGCATTCTACACTCCCACCAAGTGTGTGCAAACTCGCCTCCTCCGGCCTGCCCTGGGCTGCCGGCGGGACGCCCCCGCCCCGAGAGCCCACCCCCGAGCTCCCCCTTGCCCTAACCCTAACCCTCAGCACCCTACAGTCCTGGCGCTCCCCCGAGCAGGGGACGGCGCGGCCCCCGCCCCAGACCGCTCGGTAGTTGGTGGGGGGCGCGGTCTGCGAGGACCGCCCTAACCGCCAGCACCAACATCGGCGGAGCTGGGAGGCGGTGGAAAGGGCGCCCCGGCCGAGGGCGCCCCGCGGACGCACGCCGCGCGCCTGCAGCCTGGCTTCGGAGACCCGGGGCGCTGCGTGGGTGCTGCCGGGGGCCGGGGGGGCGGGGCGGGGCCAGGAGCTGGGGGGGGGCGATCCCGGGGGCGAGGCGGTGGGGTGTGGCTTGGACCGCACACCCCGCCCCACACCTGCGACGCGCAGGCGCAAGGGAGGGGGCCTAGTCTCCAAGGCAACCGGGTTCAACAGTTCCAGCCCTGCCCGCGTCTGGAGGTCTACCGGCGGCCCCCCGCCGGCATGTGCGCTGCGGAGGTGGACCGCCACGTAGCCCAGCGATACCTGCTCAAGCGGCGGCTGGGGAAGGGGGTGAGCCTGGCCACCTGCAGGGCGGGGGCAGGTCCAGTGGGAGGTCTGTTCTCTCCGACACTGCCTGGGGTCCTGGGCTCGCGACCAGTTTCCTCCACGGACTGGAGGGTGGCCTTGGGCAAGACACCCAGCCGCTCGGGCTTCAGTTTCTTGTAACAGGGCTCTAAAAGTGCCCTACTCCAAGGGGGCCCATCGCCTGGTTCTGGGCCCAAAGGGGTCTCAGGCCGGTGGGACCCTGGACAAATCCCCTCCCCAGTCCCCCGCTGCCCAGCGTCCCCTGCTCCCAGCTACCTCTTCTGGTGCCCATAGGACACTCTAAGGAGGCCGGGCCCACCCACTCCAGTCGCTGAGGGCGATGGGTGGATCCCAAGCCTGGCCCAGGAAGGGCCTGAGTGGGTAAATGGTCATGGAGTGAGAGCCAGAGCCTTGTGTGCGCAAACATGCATTTGTGTTTGTGTGCGAGAGCATGTGGGATTATGTATAAGAGTGCATGTGAAGGTGTGTGACTGTGTGGGTGTGTAACAGGGGAGGAAAGAAGGAATGTTCCAAACAGTGCAGACAGCAAGTGCAAAGGCCCTGAGGCAAGGACCTGCTGGCTGTGGGGACAGCAGAGTTGGTGTGAACTGGATAGGAGTGCCTGGGCTGGGGGGGGCTCCGATCACCTGCAGCTTTGGGAAACTGCAAGAGCTTCTACTGGGCATGACACAGAGGGTGAAAGCAGCCTTTGGTGCCACAAGACTCACCCTGCCTGTTCTGTAGAGGATGGACAGTGGTGTGGGCTAGGGAGACCAGCTAAAAGGTTAGTGTAGTGATTCCAGACAGGAGATGTGGGAGAGGCACGAGGCTCAGACCAGGCACGGCAGCAGAGATGGTAGCAAGTGGTGGGTTCTGATGAACTCTGATGTGGAGCCAATAGGATTTGCTAATAGGCTGGAGGGAGGATGGGAAAGAGGGGAGAGGTGCCCAGAACAGGCTTCATCTCCCACCCAGAATCTTCCATCTGTGACCTTATCTCTTCCTGGGGCCTTGCTTCCCATCACCCTCCTCTGGAAGACACCGGGGTCCTGGGCAGCAAGCTGAGCAGCCTGCAGCTGCAGGGACCTCGCCCAGAGCCACAGCCCCTTCACCACACCCTCATTCCCTCCCCAGAGCCAGAGCGGGGAGGAGGAGCAGTCTGGTGGGCAGGGGAGGGCTGGGCAGGAGTCTGGCCCTGTGCCCTGCAAGCTAACCAGCCTTCTCACAGGCCTATGGCATCGTGTGGAAGGCAGTGGACAGGAGGACTGGCGAGGTCGTGGCCATCAAGAAAATCTTCGATGCCTTTAGAGATAAGACGGATGCCCAGGTACGTGAGTGGAGAAGAGGTGTGAGAAGGACAAGGGCAGGGGTGTGGGGGTGACTCCCTGCTGCCTAGTAGCTAGCTCCGGTGTTATTTTGAAGCCTGTTCACAGCAGGTTTCTGTCATCGCTCAGAGCACCAGTTGCTCTGTGACCCTGTGGTCCAGTGGGTGTGGGTGACGAGCATCAATCCCTATAGATCCTTTCAAGAAGTGGGCTTCCTTCTTCCTCCATACCCACACTCATGTTTCTGTCTCATTCCAGAGAACGTTCCGGGAAATCATGCTGCTCCAGGTGAGTGGCCAGGGCCATCTGACCACCTCCCCAGGTGCAGTTTCTCCAAACAAGGGGGGAAGCCCAGACCCTCGCCCCTCAAAGCACACAGCCCCTGGCTCTCTCCTTAGGAACTTGGGGACCATCCCAACATCATCCGCCTCCTGGATGTGATCCGGGCAGAGAATGACAGGGACATTTACCTGGTGTTTGAGTCTATGGGTGAGTGAGGCCTTGCTTAGTCCTGGTGCAGGACCCTCCAGTGGCCTGCCTCCCTTTGTATGCCCCTCTGCTGCTCGGGCCACCATAGCGGCCATCCCCGAGCTAGGGCAGTTCCTCGGTGGGCAAGGACAAACAGATGGTGTGCATCAGTTTCTGGGCCTGGCAGTGACCACCTTGAGCCTGCCTCCACAAGCCTCCTGCTTTCTCCACTGTTTGCAGCTGTATTTTCCTTTTTCTACCCGTTTTATAAAACAAGGCAACAGGAAATACAGTATTAAAAATAATCCCACAGGGGCGCCTGGGTGGCTCAGTCGGTGAAGCGTCTGCCTTCGGCTCAGGTCATGGTCCCAGGGTCCTGGGATCGAGCCCCGCATCAGGCTCCCGGCTCAGCGGGAGGTCTGCTTCTCCCTCTCCCTCTGCCCCTCCCCCTGCTACTGCTCTCTCCCTCGCTTGCTCATTCTCTCTCTCAAGTAAATAAATAAAATCTTTAAAAAATAAAAATAATCCCACAGACTTTTATTGCTGTACCAACAAAGGCAGCAAGCGGGCCTGAGAAGCTTGCCAGAACCATTGGGAAGTGTGTGTGCCCAGGACAGGGTCAGGGACAGGGCTTTGAGGGTGGCCAGTGGGACCTGGGGACTGTGGCCACGGGAAGGGTCCAAAGTGGGACAGACCTGTGCACTCTGCCCAGGCCCCCAGGCTGACCCACATGCTCCCCTAGACACTGACCTGAACGCCGTCATCTGTAAGGGCAGGCTGCTGAAAGACATCCACAAGCGCTACATCATCTACCAGCTCCTACGGGCCACCAAGTTCATCCACTCAGGACGCGTCATCCACCGGGACCAGAAGGTGCCACCAGTTCTCCCTTCGTGGGCCCTGCCCCCCACTGTGCACACCCACCCCTGACAGCCCGCAGTCCACCTCCTCTCCTGCAGCCTTCCAACATTCTCCTGGACTCCAGCTGCTTGGTGAAGCTCTGCGACTTCGGTCTTGCCCGCACCCTCGGCGGCCTCCCTGAGGGGCCTGCGGGCCAGGCCCTGACAGATTACGTGGCCACACGCTGGTACCGGGCTCCTGAGGTGCTGCTGTCCTCAAGCTGGTAAGAGCACCATTCCCCCACCCACCCCTGCAATCCTACCTTCACCTTCCCCTGCAGCACCCCCATACCCTCTTGCCCAGCGTTGTTGTGCCCCAACGTGCATCCTCGCTGGCTCCCTCCCAACACCCCAGACCCCGCCCCCTGGAATGTCTCTCCTCCTCCCTCCACCTCTGCCTCCAGGGTCCCCCCATGCCTCCACCCCTTCCTGCCCCAGGTACACCCCTGGGGTGGACATGTGGAGTCTGGGCTGCATCCTGGGGGAGATGCTTCGGGGGAGGCCCCTGTTCCCTGGCACATCCACACTGCACCAGCTGGAGCTGATCCTGGAGACCATCCCACCACCATCCAAGGAGGGTGAGTGTGTGCAGGGGCCTGCTGGGCATCAGGGAGTCTCAGGGTCAGCGCACACAGCTGTGGGGGGACAGCATGGTACCGGCCAGGACTGGTGGGGAGGAGGCTGGGGACGAGGGGGACGGGAAGGGTCCAGAGCCTCAGGAAGACAAGAAAGGGCAGGCCCTATGCATGCTGGGCCCAGGGAGAAGCTAGGGGTCCTCGAGGGCCAAGCAGTGCCCATGAGGGGTCCAGTTGGGTCAGGACAAGAGCTGAGGCTGGTGGGAGCAGGTCCAGCAGCTGTGCTGGGAGTGGGGCAGCAGAGGTTGGGGAAAGAGGCGTGGGGGTAGGTAGTCTAGGGAGTCCTTCCTCTTTTTGGGGGGAGGGAGCCGGAGGGGGGGAGAGGACCAGGTTGGGGGAGCCCTATTGTCTTCCCCAGGTGGAAGGGGTGGCTCTTCCACGGAGGTAGGAGTGCCCAGACTGGAGCACGTGTGCAGGTGCACATACGTGCGCACACATAGCATGAATCCAGGTACTCAAGCTGGGAGTCCTGCCAGACAGCCCAACCCCTGCAGAGAGATGGGCACTCTACAGGGCAGGAGGAGACAACTGGCCCCAGACCTCCCCCAGCTGCCCCACTGGACCAGGCCCTCCCCCATCACACAGCTCCTTCTGTCCACCCACCTGCAGACCTCCTGGCTCTTGGCTCAAGCTACAGTGCCTCTATCCTGCCCTGCCTGGGGTCCCGGTGAGTGGGGCTGCTTAGGAGCTTGGCTCTGGCACACTTCTGGTCAACTTGCTGGCCAGTCTGTCAGCCCAGACCTGGGCCCTGGTCTTCCCATGGCGATCCCTAACCCAGCAGTTTGGTTACGCTAAAAATGAGGCATCTCCAGCGTCACCCAGCATGGCCTGAGGCGTGGGGAGGCCCACAGGAACGGAGCAGGGCACGCAGAGGAAGGGACGGAAGGCAAGGCAGGGAGGGGTCTCGCCCCAGGCTGCCTGAGGGTGTTGCTTGGGGAGGGGAGATGCACGGAGACAGTTAAGTGGTGCTGGGCGGAGGGTCAGGGTCGGAAGCAGAGCTGGCGTAGATCCGGATGTGGGCACGGGCCCCGACCTGGAGAGGGGACAATACGCAGGCGCCCGCAGGCCACGGCAGACGCTGGACACCCTCCTGCCGCCAGACACACCCCCGGAGGCCTTGGATCTCCTCAGGGGTCTCCTGGTATTTGCCCCGGAGAAGCGGCTTAGCGCAGCCCAGGCACTGCAGCACCCCTACGTGCAGAGGTAGGGGCGGGGAAGAGGGCAGCATCCTGACCAGCTCCTCCCTGGCTGGGGCTGGGTGTTGGGTCGCGGATCTGGGCTCGGTCCGAGAGGCCCGAGAGGCCCGCTTGACGGCAGCGCGCATCTCGCTTCTCCCACACCCGCCTCGCTGGCTCCCCGCAGGTTCCACTGCCCGGCTCGTGAGTGGACACTGGATTCGGCTGTGCGGCTCCCGGTGCTCGAAGGAGTTCAGCTCTCAGCCCCCGAGTATCGCAGCCGCGTCTATCAGGTGCTCTGGCCGCGACCACCACCGTCCCCCACCCACGCTCACCCTCAAGGCCGTCCCCTGCCTCAGCGACCCCCAGAACCCTCTACACCCTCGCCGTGCACCTGAGCGCCCCTCTCTTCCCGCAGATGATCCTGGAGCGCAGGGGCAACAGCTGCATCCCCAGAGAGAAGGGCCTGGGGGGCACACCCGCGGGGGCAGAGCCCAGTGCCCCCCGGCCCCAGGCGCACCTGCTCAATCCCAGAGCCGTCCCTCAGCTGCCCCAGGGCTCGCCCACGCAGAACCCCGGACGCAGACCTCAGAGCAGCCCGGGTCACCAGCCCGTGCACGGTGTGTGATCTCTGACGGCCGCCCCGCGCGGTGCACGGCCCCTGCGCCTCCTGGGTGGAGCCCCCAAGCGTCCGCCGCGCGGGACTAACCCCAACCCCGGGGATTGATCTTCCGACCCCACAGACATTGCCTGCGGAGCCAAGAACCTTCCGCGGCGGAACTCGGCCCCCCTGCTCCAGCCTCCACCCCCAGGAGGTCTCGGGAGAGGGGAGAGGCCCCCTGGGGCGACGGCGGAGGCCCCCTCGGCACCCTCGTGGGTAGGTCGGCCCGGGAGGGTCCCTCTCACTCCTTTCCGAGGGCCCCTGCAGTGACCCCGTGACGCGCCCCTTCCCAGGTGAAGCCCAGCGGGAAGGGGGCGGCGCCCTCCCTGGCCTCGCAGGCCGCCGCCCAGGTGGCCATCCAGGCCCTAATCCGGAGCGACTGGAATCCGGGCCGTGGGGTGAGGGCGAGCGGCGCGCGACGGGTGAGCTCGCCCGGATCCCCGGCCCTCCGCTCCCTTGCCGTCCTTCCCGCCCCCTCGGCCGCTGGGTTCGCCTGGGTCAGGGCCCTCCCCTTCCTCTGGTCCCGCCCCTTATGCGACCCCTCGACCGTGCAGGTCCCTCGCGGGCTTCCCGCGGATGCCCGGCCCGACTTCCGGCCGGGCCGGAGGATGTTCAGCGCCTCGGCCTCGCAGGGAGCCCAGGGCGCTGCAAGGGCTGTGCTCGGGGGCTACTCTCAGGCCTACGGTACCGTCCGCCACTCGGCGCTGGGCCGCCTGCCCCTGCTCCCCGGGCCACGCGCCTAAGCCGCCCTACCAGCCTTCAACCCAACTCTTCTGCTCAGCCCCGGCCCCTCGCCCAGTACCCCGCCCCTCTCCCAGCCCCGGATTTGCCCCCAAGTCCCCCATGCTCCCCACCCCCCTCTTAGCCGCTCGCCCTTTTGCCTGGCCATATTCTTGAGATCCAGGGAGCCTGTCCAGGCCTCTGGGAGAGTAGATGAGGTTCCCACCCATCCCCAATCACTTCCTCCAATAAAGTCTTGTCCATCCCCACCCAGCCTACCTGCCTGTCTTCTATTCTCAGTGAGGTACTCCCTCTGAGGCCACACCACCCCTTGCCTGGAGTCCACCCCCTTCGGAGGACCCCCATGTCTAGTACAGAGCCCATGAGAAGCTGCGAGGACACCTGCTGTCCCTGGGTGGATCCTGTCTGCCTGGAGGCTCTCCACTGCTCTCCCTGGAGGCTCACAGTGCCGGTGACTGGCCTGGGGGCCTCCTCGGGGCCAGCTTCCCCTCCTCTCTCCACAAATGCTCTGGGGCCTGCCTGGTGCCAGAACACTATCAGAGGGACAAGGGTGCTCTGGGGGGGGGGCAGGGACTTGTGCACCTGTTGCCTCAGTGCAAGCCATCACTTGAGGGCATTTGTGACCCTGAGCCAGAGTAAACGTGGAAGAGAGGACAGGGCAGTGCCCCAGGGTACAGCCCCTGTGATCATTGTGCTCTGGGCCACCAACAGTGACTGGCAGCTGGTCTGTCCTGGCGGGGCGTGGGTCCAGGGGGGTGGGAGCCGAAGAGTTCCAAGGGGCCCCTTGGGCACCCGTCTCATGGTTCCAGGTCTGCCTTGCACCACACCTGACCCTGGGCAGGGGCTGGAACACACAGGCCACTTCCCAGCTGCCCAGCTGGAGTTCACAATCTAAAGGATGTGGCCTGTGCTGTGTTGGAGGCTGGGCTGCCAGGAGCAGGACCTCTGCTCACCTGTAAAAGCTGCTGGCTGCTAGGGAGAGCCACAGGTGGGAAGGGCAGGGAGAGCTGGGCAGTGGGTGGGCCCAGACCAGGTGGTTGCAAGAGATGGATAAAGCGCAAGACGACTTGGGAGGAGGCCCAGAAAGGAGGCAAGAGTAAATGCCCCAGTTCTGGCCGGGAGGTGAGCGAGTCAGGAGACCAGGCTGCCCAGGGGCTAGTCGGTTGAGTTCTTAGAGCCTGAGGCATAGCCCCCAGGTGATGGACGAGGATGGCGCATGAGGCAGTGGGAAGGAATGCCACAGCCCAGAGAGCAGGTGGGGCCCCAGGATGCCCAGCCCTGCAAACACGGGGTGGCTGGAGGGGCTGAGGGATCCCGACACCTGGGCACTGGTGTCTGGGGGCGGGGAGGCTGGGAAGTGTCTGCTGGGCTTGGTGGTCAGGAGCCCCCAGGGGAGCGCCAGTGGGGGTGTGCCTAGGCAGAGGGCTGGCGGAATTGAAGAGTGGGAGTAGTGGATGAAAGCATTTGCCTGTGAAGGGGAGCGGGTCATGGGAAGGTGAGGTGGAGTCTCCAGGGTTAGATGTGGCTACAGGTGCTGGCAGTACAGATGTGGGGGGGGGGTTAATGGGCCCCACAGGGATGGGTGGTGCTGTCCAGAGGGAAATGTGAGTTCCCAAGACTCACATTTGCAATATACTAACTGGGTGATTAATATATATATTTAGGAATGTGTTGGAATATTTTGTTGTGTTTTATTGTTAACACCGAAATGTGCAGAATCACATCTGAGATGTGTTATTCAGCACGACGTGGAGGCTGCAGACAGGAGGCTGCACGGGCTCCCCCTTAGCAACGGGCGGCGCCAAGCACACGAGAGCCAACAGGTCAGCGAGCACACCAAGGCCAAGGAACACTCCAGCGCATCTGGCTTCTCAGTGACCTTTCCCACCTGAACCAAAGTATCCCCCAGCCTCCCCGCCCTCCCTTCTCCAGCTGTCTGGAGTCAGAACTGCTGCCTTTGCTCAGTGGCCTTGTTCCTTAAATCCTTTCCCAGTCTGCGTGATTTCGATTTCTTATTCTTAAAAAAAAAAAAAAAGGGTTGCAGAAATACTAACTTCACGATGCTAGCACTTACAGTGGGGGACTTCCTAAGCATTTGGTGTTAAAATGTGTTATTCCAAATCAAAGTCACTCTCCAGAGGTGAAAAAGATACAGGAAAGGTAGGTGGGGAAACTCTGATTTTGCACGTTGGTGACAAAGAGGGAAAGATCCAGACCAGGGTGGAGTCGGGGTCTGCTGAGCACCTGAAGGGCCAGGACCCTTGGAGCAATGGGCTAGGGCTCAGGCTCCACCACACCAGAGCCCTGCCCTCACCTGTTCAAGTACAAGCATTCCAGGGCAGGGCCAAGGCCCAGCATCCATCGAGACCTGGCTTTATTGTGCTGCACACCCCGGCGCTCTCACCCCTTGCGGGGGGCTGGGGTGCTGGCTGCAGCCCTGCAGGAAGAGTGGCCAGGTCGGTCTCCGTTCTCCTGGCAGGACAGTCAACCAGCTCTGCCTCCCCACAGTGAAAGGGTGGGCCGCTGAAAAGGGTGCCAGGACGCAGAGAGGGAGGCAGTGAGGAGGAATGCAAGCAGGGCAGGAAGTGAGCCCTGAGCCAGCGGGGGTGGAGGGGGAGACACCGGCCGGCCCAGGGGGAGAGGCTGGAGCTGCCAGGAGGCGGGCACGAGGCAGCTGTGAGGAAGCTGTAGAACCAGGAGGCAGTGAGCAGAGGGGAACCCTGAGACATGGAAGCCCTGAGACGTGGAGCCCCCAAAGATGGGGGACTGAGGCACAAAGAGATGGGCCCCCCAAAAGATGGGGGCCTAAGGCACAAAAAGATGGGGCCCTGAGGTGAATGAAGGTCTAAAGGGGACCTGAAGCCCAGAGAGATGGTGGAGGCAGATGCGTAGGAAGGGGAGGCTCAGGGCCCAGGGGCAGAGATGGAGCTGGAGGAATAAGGCGTGGGGCAGTGAGGGGCTAGCGCCCCAGCGGGGAGGGGCCAGGGCAAAAGGCAGGCCAGCTACTGGGTGAGCTCCAGGCGCAGCCAAGCTCTGGCGGTGCTCAGCCGCTTCCACGCCGCCTTGAGGGGAGGAGAGCCAGGTGCTCTGCCTGGTGGCTGGCAGCGAGGCAGGTGCCTGGTCCGGGGCTGGGGGGCCAGGAGGCTCACTTCCTTTTGAAAGTACCCAGGATCCTGGGCATGAACTTGCCCACCTTGCTGTCCCTGGTGTCGTCCTCTGCTGTGCCCTCCCCTGCCCCCGGGCCTCCGGCTTCTTCCTTTTTGCAGAAGACCTCAAACCGGCTGTAGACGCGCTTCTCCTTGCGCATGCTCTCCATGCGGAGCAGCAGCCGGTCGCGGTCCTCGGCGCTGGCAGGCAGGGTGCGGCTCAGCCTTCCCTGGGTCCCCAGGCTGTCCGAGCGGAAGATGGCAGAGCATTTGTCTTTGTCGGACATGTCAGGGGCCAGGCCGCCAGCAGCTGGTGAGCGGCCTAGTTCAGGACTGCTGCGAGCCAGGCCCGGGGCCGGGGCGGGGACCCCGCGGTGTTTCTGGCCGTGGGCGCTGATCTGCTCCAGAATGGCTTTCGTGTCATCCCGCAGGTTGCTGCTGTACAAGGCGTTGGCCGTGGTGGAGCCCATGCGCGCCCGCGGGCCCCACTCGTCTCCAGTGGCAGCCTCAGTGCTCTCAGCCCTGCCCAGCGACGGCCGCCGGGGGCTCTCGGGCTGCCCGTTCTCCTGCGGCGCTGGGAAGCCGCCCTCTTCCTCCGTGCGCCGCTCAGCCTTGGGGCTCAGCAGCTGGCGGAGGCGCAGGGAGCCCTTGCGCAAGACTTCCATGGGGCCGCCAGCCGTCTCCTCCGCGGCCCCAGTCTTAGGAGACTCCTCGGAGAAGGGAAGAGTGAGGCTGCCCCTGCGCTCCGGCACAGGGGGGACGGGGCTGCCCCTGCGCTCCGGCACAGGGGGGACCGGGCTGCCCCTGCGCTCCGGCACAGCGGGGACCGGGCTGCCCCTGCGCTCCGGCACAGCGGGGACCGGGCTGCCCCTGCGCTCCGGCACAGCGGGGACCGGGCTGCCCCTGCGCTCGGGATAGGCCGCGGTGGGGCTCCCTTTCGGCTCAGGGTGAGGTGCCTGGCGCGGCCCAGGCCCCTCCAGCGGGGGACTGACCCGCCCTTGTGGGGAGGCGGAGCGACCCTGGGCAGAGAGAAAGCGAGAGGGCAGCCGGTCGGTGCCGCTCCGGCCCAGCGTGTCTAGCAGCTGGGTGGCAGTAAGCGTGGCTGCTCCCGGCTGCCTCTCAGCCTCCTGGTGCAGCCGCTGTGCGAAGGAGTCGCGCAGGTCCAGCAGGCAACTCTCGAGGCTGCGGCGCTCGCTTCCCGCCCCACCCGGCACCACCGCCTCCTCCCGCCACGCCTGGGACACAACAGCCTTGCTATGGCTGGCGACTGTGACTGGGGCCCCCGCCCCTCCGGCATCACGCGCCGGGCCCTTGTATTTCTCCAGGAGCTCGGCCACCTTGGTGGAAGTGGCGGAGCGCATGGCCTCGCCACCGGACCCCAGCATCTCGCTGACCGCCTGCTCCTTGTGCAGCAGCTGCGCCTTCTCGGTAGTGGCCGCCATGGCCCCACCGGCGCCCTCGGCCTGCGAAGCGCTGAAGATCAGGGAGGAGCGCAGGCGCGAGCTGCGCTGGATCAGCGGGTTCAAGCGCGAGCGGAAGGAGTCCTGCTTGGCCAGACCTGCCTCCTCCAGGCCCTCGCGCTCTGGGCTGTCGCCACCACCGCCGCCGGAGCAGGACACCAGGCCCTTGGCCGGGAAGGGCGCACGGGAGGCTGAGGGGAGCAGGTCCCCGGGGGCCATTCGGCCACCGGACACCAGAACGTCGTCTTCATAGGCCTCAGCCTCCATGGGTGCCGGCAGGCCCTCCTCGCCCGCGTCCTCGCCATGGCAACCGCTCAGGTAGGACGCCAAGCGCCAGTGCCGCAGCCCGGCCCGCCCCTCGGGCCCGCCCCTGCGCTCCTGCTCTGCGTCGGGCGCGGCGTCTGGGCCCTGCCTTGCCACTGCCTGGCACGGGAAGCGCTGGCCCAGGTTGGGGCGTGGGGCTCCGCTGGGTTCCAGGCCGCGGGGCCCGGGCCCCGAGGCGGGGTCTGAGCCGTGGCGCACCTCGCGCGACGCGCTTGACGGCACGTAGTCCAGCCGCTGGTGTCCGTCGGGGCCGAGCTCGGGGAAGCGTGGCCCGGGCCCCAGCGCGAAGTCGTCGTGCTCGGCGAAGCCGGGGCGGCCAGCGCGCAGCTTCTCAAACAGGCCCTGCGGCCGCGCCGGCGCGAGCTGTGGGTCCCATTGGTAATGCTGCTGGTAGAGCTGGTCACGGTGGAAGTGACTGGTCTGGAAGCGGAACTCGTCACCGTGGCTGAGGAACGCCTGCCGTGACACCTGCCGCGCAGCCGCAAAGTTCTCCCCCGCGCCGGTGCCGTCGGCCGCCGCGTAGCTGTGCCGCTTGAAGGTGTCCATCTCCAGATGCCGGGCCTGAAAGAAGCCCCGCGGGCCCGCGAGCTCTCCCCCTAGTCCTGCCTCCGCGTCCAGCCGCCGCGATAGGGGCCGCAGTCCCGCGTGCGGCTCCAGGGCTCCCGCGGGCATCCGCGCTGGCTCCTCCCGGCGGAAGGCCGACAAGAAGTGGCGGTCGGGGTCGAGGAAGGAGGGGAAACCCAGGCCCTCTTCCCGAGGCGGTGGGAACAGGAGGTGCGCTCGTTTGGGGAAGGAGAAAGGGGTCGGCGCCCCGGTCACCTGGCCGCCCATAAGGGGCCCGGCTCCCGCGTATGGAGCCAGGGCGTAAGCATCCATGCGGGCCAGTGCCCCGGCTGAGGGCACCAGAGGCTCGGACTGCGCGAACAGGATGCGGAACTCCTCATCGAAGCTGGAGACCAGCTCGCCCTGGAACACGTGCGCCAGGCTTCGGTGGATCTTCTCGAAGGACCACATGAAGCTGCGGGTGGGGCAAGGGTCAAGATCAGAGTCAAGGAGAGGGGCGGAGTCAGCGTCGGAGGAGGGGGCGGGGCTGAGCAGCAGCGGGGACCGCGGAAGGCCACCTGTGGTTCTGAAGTGTCAAATCTGCAAGGACGGGGCGGGTGGTGGGGGGGCGCTACTAGACTAGGGCTTGGCCAGGGGAGGTCCTTAGGTGGGGAGATGTCAGGGTTGCGGGCTGGGCGCACCTGTAGCTCCCACTCATAACCACGGCACAGTCCACCAGCAGGAACTTCTCCTTCACGTGGCCCTTGAAGGACTTCCCAGTGCGGCAGTAGTAGGTGGGGCCTGCCACAGTGCGCACGCGCAGGAACTGGGGAGGGAGAGGCATTAGGTCTCTGCCGGGGAGTCTTCCACCTCCCTACACACCCCCTGGGTCACTCACATCCACGTGATGCAGGTTGACGCGGCACTTGTCGGCCATGTCTAGGAAGTGCTGCGCATTCATCTCATCCAAGAGGATGTAGACCGGGACGCGGCGAGCCGCTGCCTCCAGCACTTCACCAAGCAGGTCCACGTCGGTGAACATGTCCATCACCACGGCCACCACCTGCGGGGGGCAGGTTAGGGACAGAGGACAGACCCCTCTGCTGTCCCCACTATTCTCTAGCCATTCCTGCCTGGCCCGGGCAAGGCCTCAGGATCACCCATGAACACTGCAAATCGCCCTCTAGCCCATCCCATGGGAGAGTGGGGCCCTGCCAGGGAAGGGGAGTCAGGAGGAAAAGGCCTACCAGAGGGGGTGTGGGGCTGCTGGCGGGTGGGTGGCCCATGATGGAGCCCTAGGCAGGCACAGGGCCTACCTCCTGTTGGGGAAGGGACAAGGCAAATGAGGCCCCTGAGAGGCACCTCACACTGCCCTGCCCTACGGATGGCCCAGCCCAGGCTCTAGCTCTGCCCCTGGGAGGAGACTGCTGTAGAGGGTGCACAGGGCAGTTGGGGGTCTCTAGCTTCTGGATCTGCTGCCTCAGCTTCCATGTCTGGCTCCCTTTGCTGTTTGCCACCTGTTTGGTGGGGTCAAGCCTGGGTCAAAGATTCGACTAGAGAGAATTCTCTGAACCATAAATCCAGACCAGGAAGGGGGCCTAGCATCCCAGGGCCCTTGAGTTTCTGGGCACTGGCCATGACCAAGGGCAAGCAAAACGCAGTGTGCCCCCCGCAGCCTGCAATAACCAAACACTTCGTGACCCCCAAAGCTGGCTGCCAGGGAGCCTGTGCTGTAGCTTGAAGGCTGGAGAGGCATGGCCAGCTGGCCCTGGCCTCACCCTTGCCCCCTAAGCTGGAAATGCTGGTATTTTTCTTTCACCAGCACACTCCACTCAGGCTTCGCGGTCCAGCTCAGGCCCTTCCGCCCACTGTCCACCCAGCCCGTGACAGCACACCTGCTGGGCAGAGCGGATCATCCTTCGAGCCTCATCCTTGATGCTGGGGCTGTCAGGTGGTGGTGGCTGTACCAGGGTCGTGACTTCAGTGCCCTGGAAGCCGAAGGTCAGGGGCCAGCCTAGGTCAAGCTCAGGCACTGCCTGGTCTGAGTTCATGGGCCAGTAAGTGCCTGAGGAGCCATCCATGTCCACATTGGGAGGGCTGCCTTCAGGGGGCTCGCGAGCAACATGCTGTGGGGGCCGCAAGTGGCGGCTCACATGCTCCAGCTCCTCAGGGCACAGGAAGGCAGGTGCCCCCTCAGACGCCAGGAAGCGGCTGTAGGCCTCTGGCCCTCCCTCAGCCAGGGCATCCACTGCCAGACGGTAGTACTCCTTGTAGTGAGGTGGCAGGTACCCAGGTGCCAGTGGGTTGTCCCCCTGCGAGGAGCTCTGGGAGCGACGGGCCATGTCGGGGCCAGGGGCCTGGGGAGGGGCAGGGAGACACATTACTGGGGCAGCGGCACTGGGCCCACTCCCCGCCACCCACCATGTGTAGACACTTGTCTGTGACCTTGAGTGGGCTGTGGAGTGCAGACCATGCACTCCACCCTGGACCCCAGGATGCCCCCTGGCTGGCAGGGTGCCGGGAGGGTGCCCCAGCCCTGTCTCATGTAGCTCCGTGCTGGTGGGGCCCTTCCCCTTCCCGGGACCTCAGGAGATCCTGCACCCTGGTTTCCAGGCAGGGGCTCTGGCTGCATGAAGCCCCCATTCAGGGTTCCTTTATGGCCCCTGTGACCCAGGTACTTCTTTGTGGGCCCCTTCCTCCATAAAAAGAAAACCAGTATTTTACTATTGTTGGCATAAAGAAAATACAATCCAGGCTGGATTCTTTATTATATTGGCTTTTTTCTTCTGATTTGGGCATTAATGCATTTTCGTGGGCCCTGAACGAAATTGTGTGTACTGAACAAGTCAGGTGGCCCCCCACCTGTGTGTCTCTGTCTGCAGTACAGGGGGGCGAGGGGGAGCCCAGGGCCGCTTGCTGGGCCTCTCTGGCTCATTACCCCCACTGTAAAGTGCAGCTGCCAGGGCTGACCTGCTCCTGTGCCTGGCCCAAGGTGAGCTCAGCCTACAAAACTTGTCACTTTTGTCACAGGCCTCAGCACCCGTCGTATGGGGTCACACACTCTGAGCCCCAACCTATTCGCGGACTTCACAGCCCTCCAAACTCTGACCCCTGCCCTTTGTCCCTGTCCACCAGAACCACTCCCTTCCCTTTGACCCATCCACCTTTCTAGCCACTGTGCCACCTTAGATAAAAACCCGAGCCACACCCCCTGGCAGATCTGGGTAGCAGCCTCCTGGCTCTCCACAAGCTTAGAGTCCTGCATGGCTAAGCCCAACCCTGCATGCCGGTGGTGGTCTTGTCTCTGGCCATGCCCTGCTCCCCGCTGTGCTCTGGATGAAGCCTGAGCCCTTGGCTGTGGCCATCAGGCTCATCCTGGGCTCCAGATGTGCCTCTCCCCTTGTCCCAACTTCACACTGACACCTAAGCCCCACCTGGTCCACTCCAGTCCACCTGCCTCCCAAGGGCCTGTGAGGGAGCCTAGGCTGGGAGAAGCTGCCTTTAGCTCTGGAAGGCCACGTGGGGGCCTCTTTTGGATCCCCAGGGGGCATCAATCCAATACCTGAACTGCCTGGATACCTGTCCTCCTACCCTGGAAAGAGAGCCCCAGGCACTGCCCACCCCACCCCAGCCGCTGCTTGGGGCTGGGACAGAGCTGGATTCGGATCCCACCTAGCCCTCAGGTTCCTAGATGCTGGTCTTGCCAGACTGCACAGTGTGCCCTAGTCCACAGGGGCAGCTGGTTGCTGCTGACTGGCCAGGGTCACTGGGTGGTCGGAGGCAGCTGGGCACTGGAGAATGTCAGGGCCAAGACTGTTGTGTATGACAACCTGAGGGACCTCTCCTGTCTGCTCTCCTGGGGGGTGACAGGCAGACTGGACGTTCTGTGGGGGTGGGAGAGGGTACCTGGGAGAAGGTCTGCGGGAAAGCTGTTCTGCCGTTCCTTCCTCGGGGCACCACCCTCCGTGGTTACATACAAGATATCCATACTATTCTCAGAGGCAGGCTCCACTGGGGCACAAGGTGCAGGTCTGTCTGTAGCGGGGTCTCCCACAGTATCCGACAGAGGGTGGTGGTGGCGGGGAGAAGACCCTGGAATTTGGCTGTATGGGGCCAGCGTCAGACCAGGCAGGGCTTGGGGGCACTATGCTGCTCACTACATTTGAGAGGGGGCACTTCCCAAGCTGGGGAACCCTGCAGTCCCTTGCACTTCACTGAGAAGGGGAATCAACAGAAACTGTCCAGGCTGGCGGCAGCAGGGGCAGGTGCCACAGTGCCCAGGAGCCCCCGCAGCAGACAGGACTCATCAGGAACGGGGTGCCCATCCTGAGTGCCCACACCGGGGGGCCCTGCATGGCCTCACACAGTAATACCCATGACCCCACTGACTTCCTTCCTTTCACCTTGCACACCCCTGAACTGTGGACTGGGCAGCGGCCGCTCTCCAGCCCATGACAGGGCCCCAACAGCGTGGCTCCTCACACATTTGCCTACTGAACGCCTGCCCTGAGGGAGGGAGAGGCACTTATCCCACCCAGGCCAATGACTCAGCAGGAATCTGCTCCTTTGCTGCTGACCTCTGACCCCTGACACAAGGCAGACACATCCTCCAGGGCCCTCAGGGCTTTAGTGGGCCCCTAACGAGAGACTTCCCTCCTGGGTAGGAGGTGGGTTTTCTAAGTGACTGGAAGGAGCGCAAGGCGACGTGACCGTGCGCTAAGTACAGGTGGGAGCACGGGTTACCCGCAGAAGCCTGGGCAAGCCTTGGGCAACAGGGACGAGGTTGGGGGGTGGCATTCGGCCAGCTGGGACGCACAGACTGAAGCGGATGAGTCGTCGTCTTCGGGGGGTGCCCCGCAGGGCCGAAAGGGCTTAGTGAGCCCAAGGAACTCGCGGCTGCCTGGGCCTGGTGTTCCATCCACCCGCCCCAGTCCGGGGACTTGGGCGTGAGGGTACCGGGGCCTTCCGCTCTCCCAGCACTTCACGCAGGACACCGACTGCGCCTCGGCCTCCCCAGCCACCCCCGGTCCAAGGAGCCCAAGGCGGGGCCCCCTCAGGGAGGGGTCCAGGCCAGGCCCAGCACCCTCCGCAGGCTCCAGCTAGGCCGCGAGGGCGGAAGCGAGTCAGGACGGCCCGGGCAGGCTCGCCCCAGAGCCCGGGGCCCTTTCCCACTCCGCTCTCGCCGGACCGGCGTCGTGCGAGGGCGCTCGCGGCCACGCCGGTACACGCGGCCCAGGTGACCTCCCCCCACCGGCCCGGCGCGGCCCCGCGCTCGAGCTCCCACCGTCCGGCGCTCCGCCGCGCGGCCCGGGCCCAGGTGCGGGTGGGAGCGCCGCCCAGGTGAGGCCGCCCCCGCCCCACCCTGGGGGCCCTGCCGCGGCCTCCCCTCCGGCGCGCCCCGCCCCGCTCGAGCCGGGGGAGGGGGCCCTACCTGGCCAGGTGCGCGGGGTCTCGGGACAAGGGCAGCAGGAGCCGACCGCCGCCCAGCGGCCTCGCGGTCCGGTCGGTCCGGCAGCCACTCCCTGTCGCGGCCCGCCCGCCGCGCGGCCTGATTCACGCGCCCGCCCCCGCCCCGCCCGCCGCTCCCGCCGCCGGCCTGCCCGGGCAGCACCTGGGGGCGGGGCGGCCCCACCCGCGGCGCGCCCGCATTCCGCCGCCCGCGCCCCCGCGGCCCCCGGTCCCCGCCGCGGCCCCCGGCCCCGGGTGTCCCGCCGCCGCCGCTGCCGCCGAGGCCCCGCCTCCCGGGGCCCTATGCCCCCGGCGCCCATCCGTTCGCCGAAGCTCTAGGCCCCTATCCCTGACCCCTGACCCTCGCCCCGGAAGTCGAGGTGACTCGGAAGTTCCGGCTCAGTCGCTAGGAAACCGGTCAGCCCGACGTAGGGGGCGGGACTTCTCGCCCTGCCTGCGAGTTGGGGGAGGCAGGTGAGGCAGGTGAGGCCGCAGGGGCGGCGCCGAGCCAGTAGCGGGCCCGGGCTTGAGGACCCCGCGAGCACCGGGGATCCCCCGCCACGGGGCACCCCTAACCTGACGCCCTCACAGAGGACCCCCCACTCTCCGCACGCAATACTCACAAGTACCTGGGACCCCGCTGGCACACAGAGACACTGCGCTCATAGACCCCTCCCCACACCTACGCACACAAGGGACCTTCCCACACACCAGTCCCCTCCCAGGCCAATGCCCCCCAGGTAGATTGAACCCTACAGGCACTCCCACAAGGACTCTACAGGCACATCAGGACCCGCACACACAAGGGATGCCACATGCATTTACCTCCTTACACACCAACGCCTCCACTTATAGAGGACCCTGCACACACCCCTGCTGACCCCCACGCACGTAGGACCCCACGGGCACCACAGGGATCCCTGCATACTTAAGGGACCCTACGTGCACACCAACTCCACACGCCTATCATCCAGGCGCACACCAACGTCCACGCACATAGGAGACCCCGCATGCACATGGGAAGCCCTCACACACCAACCCCACACACCAACAGGGAAGCCCACATTCACTGATCCCCCAGCAAACGATCCACAAGCACCAGGATCCTCCCCCACAGAACCATGCCCATGTACAGGACCCCATACGACCACTGAGACTCCTTCACTCAGCGGGTACCCTGCTAGCATTGCTCCACGTGGATAGGGGACCCCGTAAGCACACACTGACCCCCCTCAAGAAGTCCTCAGTCCCCCTAAACACTTCAGATCCTTGCTCAGAACCCCAGTTCCCCATTGGATCCCATTTAGGGCCTGCCCTGCGGCCAACCATGTGTCCAAGCCAGGGCCCCTGCCCAAGCTTCTCCCTCCCCAGTCCATGCCGGAAACCTCTTCCTGCCAGTTTCTGGTCACCTTCCTCCTCGTCACTCGTGACGCATGATCCCATCTTCTGGGTTTCCAGGGTTGCTCTCAGTTTCATTAATTCCTTCCCCAAGCACTGTGAGACACCCCACCAGCAGAAGGTGGTGGGCATGCAGACACGGGGTCACACCAGCGCCCAGGTAAGACTGCCGTGCCGTACCTGTGCAGGGGGGGAGGCGAGGGGACCCAACCCAACCTGGGCCAAGGGAGGCCTCCCAGGGGAAATAAACTCTGGGGTCAGCTGCCTGGACTAGGGAGAAAGGCATTGCTTCCAGGGCCTGACAACAACATGAGAGGGTTGGGGGCACGGAAGTGTCGGTGTTTTGGGTGGGTGCGGGCAGTGGGGAAGCATGGCGGCTTCAGCAGAGCAGGGTGGCGCTATGCATTAGAATGAAGCTTGTTGAGCTGCAGCCCAGCGGTTCAGAGCAGGGACATAGGTACAAGACACCCTGCCCTGGAGGCTACGGTCAGGGCCCGGGACCAAAGGATGGATGAACCAGGGAGTGGAGGAGGCAGGTGAGCAAGGGCAAGGGGGATGAGCTGTGGCCAGAGGTCCTTGCAAGCATTCCCCCAGAAGCTGCTGGGCACACTTGGGCCGAAAAGCAGGGCAGGCAGGTGGGCCTGGAAGCCGACAGGAAGCTGGGGTGGGGGGGACGTGAGGCTGTCTGTCCACACAGGCCACTCTAAGCACACACTCCTTGACTTTTCCCACCGCCCCCCCCCAGGAAAATGAGCAGCAAGAAGGGGGTGCCCAAAGCTGCATCAGTTCAGGGAAGTGGCAGCCATCCCTCCTTGGAGCCGAGCTGAGAGCTGTTGCTGGTAAGTGAGTCTGACCTCTAGAGCACCTCCACTCCAACACTGACTTGTGAGCCCCTCGCTGCAGCTTCCAGGGATGCTCTGAGAAGACCCTTCCCTCTAAGCATGGCTTTCAGGGAATCTCTGAGTTGGGCTTGGTATGGTAGACCGAGGATTCAGGGCTCAGAAGTCCATTCGACCCTGAGACTCGTACCCGTAGGGGGGATCAGGGAGCAGTATTGGGAGCAGCACAGCGTTAGGACACAGAGATGGAATGCAGGCCCACGTGGACTGAAGACAGGTCTGAGCTCACTTAGAATGCATGTTGGGGATTCTCAGGCTAAGTGTGTGGTCCACTCTGACCCTCCGTTCCACCTGGGCTATCCCCTTGCTTTTCCCTGCCTACAGGTGCTCTCTCAGGCCACCTTCTCCATAGCCACTCCTAGAGTGAATGGTGACAGCTTGCCCTCGATTCCACCCTGTTGTGGGTCGGGAAGGGCCCCTTCTCCCCTTCCTACCCATTGCCCTTCCCTTCTCAGTCCCATTTCTCCTCTGTCAAGGCCCTCATGAGTTCTCTGTGAAGCTGTCAGCACCTTCCAGGCTGCAGTTCTGGGTCCCTCCAGCATCCAGGCCTGCACTGGGGTCTGTGTTGGCTAACGGAGCACCCACCCTATTCCCCAGCTGCAGCCCCTCTGATCGGAGGGGGGCTGCTCCAAGTCCCTGGACCACAGAGAGCTCGCAGATCACGTGCCCTGCTGGGGGGCGGTGACTACTCTCCCATGCCAAGCCGGGGTTAGACCCTAGTTTCCCAAAATAGCCCCAGCGGCATCTGAGGAAGCAGCCTTTCTGGAATGAGGATGATGGGCTCAGGGCCGCATGCTTCTTCTGTGATCTCAAGCCCTGGGAACACAGACTGCAATAAACAGTGGAGGCAGGGCGGGCAGCCAGGAAGCCTGCCAGGAAGCCCTGTTGGGGGTGGGGGCAGGGTGGGCATGTTCCTCACTTCTGCTACCTGCTGACTGTCCACCTAGGGCCTTGCTGCAGCCCTCCCCTTGTGCACCCCAAACACTGCCCTGGACAGCTCCAGCAGTTCCCTGCCCTGGCCCACCTGGCCAGGATGCCTGGGTCCCCGGTAGGAGTACCTCTGCCTCAGTTTCCCTGAACAAGTGTCCTTTCTGGGCACTCTCTACCTGCCAAACACTGGGCCAGCCTGGGAGGGCGTGCTCTCACATGGTCTTTGTAGCACGCTGTGTGGTGGGCACACCTCACCTCTCGAGTGTGAAAAGGGCCCACCATTATCACACAGCCATCCTGGCCTCTGGCGCCCTGGCCCTCTGCAGGAATCTGTAGGTTGCTTGCATGGCTACCACACCCCCACAGACTGTCCGGAGCCTCCCCCCACCCCCTTACCTGGCCTTGGGTCTGCAGCACCTCAAGGCCCTCGCTCCGGAGTTGCTCCAGCGCCATGGCCAGCTCCAGCCCCTCCACGCGCACCCAGGCCTGCTCCTCCTGTAGCTGCTGCAGCCACAGCTGCTCCTCCTGCCACAGCTGCTCCCTCCACAGCTGCTCCTCCTGCCACAGCTGCATCTGCAGCTGGACCTGCCGCCGCCGGTCCTCCAGCAGCCGCTGCTCCTGGGCCAGGCACAGCTGGACCTCATGGAGCCTCAGCAGCTCAGGACCCAGGCCCAGTGTGAGGCCCCCTGCCCCACAGCCTTCCATGTCCGCAGGGGGGACTAACACCAGCTCGGACCCCAGAGCAGTGGTCTGCACTGGCCCCTTGGCTGCTTGTGGCCGCTCTGGCTTGGCCACCCTGGGGTGTCCCTGGGCAGCTGGCTTGTTGCTGGTCACGTGCTCCGCAGGGGCCACCCCCACCTTGTCCTGAGGGCCCCCTGCAGCGGGGGGCGGGGGCTTGGCCTCAGGGCCCTGCTGACCCGAGGCCTGCTGTGCCTTGCCCGCCCTCCTGCCTCGGGGTTTTCGAGCCCGACTTCGTTTCCCCGACATGGCCCCGATCCGGCGCCTTTCACCAGGTGTCTGCTCCCTGGGGGCCCTGGCTCATCGCCGGCCAGCCGTGATCAGGCAGGTGCAGCGGGCATCCCTGGGAGGCCACAGTGGGCCCTCTGCTCCTGCCCTGCCCCTTGGCTGGTGCCCGTGGCGCAGCAGCTCCAGGCCCCGGCGCTGCCTGTGGGCCTCACGGGCCCCACTCGTTGGGCTGGGCCACGCTGGGGAGTTTATAGGGACTCGGCGGCGTGGTGGCTCACCTGGGCTCGAGGGCTGACTAACGTGCTGACACAGGGCGCAGGACTTTACAGGCCACAGGCCTCATTGGCCAGACTGGGAGGGAGACTGAGAAACTGGAGGAGGTGGCTCTCGGCAACCAGATCCTGCCTGTGCGTAGCAACGAGTCTGGTCCTGCCCTGGGTGGGCCACAGCGCCTCCTCCCCCGCCCCTGGTCCAGGGCCACTCACCAGCCCACGGGCCCAGGAGCTGCAGCCCAGTCACACTGACCATCCAGAGGAGACCCTCCCTGGCCACAGACAAGCCCAACACAACTAGCCTGGCAGCCCCCAGGCGGGGAGGCTCAGAGGAGCCCCCCGGGGGCCCAAGCTTGCCTGGGGTGCTCTGTGGAGGCGACACAGTATTCACCCAGCTTGGGGGCCTCCTGCTGGGGGCTGGGGGAAGAGCCGGGGCCTAAGGCCCGATGGCATTTTGTGGACTGAGATGGGGCAGCGAGGCACAGTCCAGCCTGCCCTAGGGTGGGGCAGGGGCCCTTGATGCCTCCTGGTTGGGGGTCCAGCTGCCCTGCCCCAGAAACAAAGGCCTTTGTATCCCCAGGGGGACCCTGGTGGGGGTGGGGGTGC